CACACCTCCCTACTGCAGTACAATGACAAACTGGTTGAAAACCAGTTAATCTCAACAGACTGTAAGGGCAGAAGTTATGTGTTAATCATAGTTCACATTTCACCATGTATTGTAATAGAGCTTATACACAAGTTTAATTTTACCTGCAGTCATCAGTCTTGCTTTCTCAACAACTTGTGTCAATAAGAAATAACAATTTATGGGTATACCTTTCAATATAAGGGCCACTTAGATACTTTTGAATGGTCTCTGTATGGTATAAAATCAAAACTGCTTGTATGGATTACACTTTTATGTCAGGTCATGCAACTAAAAGTGAAACTCGGAATCACACACCCACAGATACATAACATAAAAATGTAAACATAGATACTCCCCACATAACTTACTGTAGTAGGTAAACACAGCCTGATTTTCTTCGATATACTGTGTTTTATTCCATCCTCGCCAAAAACGTCTATATATAACTCATTTTCTCCTGCACACAATCTACAAATTAATTTCATATCAAAACCCTCCATCGTCAGCAAACACCGTTGTTTCAAATGGCGGTCTTGTGAAATCAGGGATACCAACCTACAAATATATAATAAGCAACGAATAAGGTTGTTTGCATGCGCACAATATTTTAGTGTTATACCAGTTGTGAATATATAACCTTCCTGCATGATTAGTTATAAAGAAAATCTTGCAGACTTAACTCAATATGTGATCATCTTATTTTGGGACCACTGTCTTACCGTCTATCCAACGCATACGTTTGTACTATTGATAGGATAATTTTTTTAATATTTGCCCATTATAGTGATCTCTAGGAAAATTTTAAAGAAAATAGGTAATCAACCGCTGAATACGTACTGAAAATAAGCCTATGATTGCAACATCTACATAACAATATTACACTTCTACTAATGAGCACTTTACTGCAGGCGAGCCATATTTATAATCCCAAATTGGCTCCGATGTACAGTTTAAAAATTGATGTACGATTGCAAATTGCATTGGCATCATTCTTGCGAGGACTGACACCATAGAGAAATATCATATACAAAGAACACATAAACAAAACCTTGCACTAAACGACAGCAACATTTACACGAACAATCCGATATTTAACATTCTACAGTCCATTGACCCAACCCCCTCAACAACTTTCACCCAATATATATAGCTACACACGATACCTACAACTCAGTTGCTGTCTGCCATTCAATAACAACGGACACGCACCTCACACACAACCCGGTATGTTATAATACTTTATATTTTGTGATTGTATTTCTTTTGCTTGTATTACGATATATTTGAGTAATTCCTTAAAATAATATAAAATTAGAGTAATATTATTCCATTTCCTATGTCGGTAGCCAGAATCACGATATGAAAATTAAAATTGATTTTGCAGATATAGGCACCCAGACGCGTCTCCAAAATTAAATGAAAGAAGCCTGGAGATGTAATAAAAACGGATAAAACATAAGCAATATAAGCAGAGCAACAGATACACCAGATTTTAATTTTAATTTTGATAGACCTGACGATGATAGAATTGTATATCGAAACATGTCGTCAATTTTAAAATGTAACAATTTTATGTGAAATTTTATATGATTTTAACAATAAGCTTGTGTAACGACGGAAAATAAAAGTACTGTATTGAGGAACACAAGCATGATGCAATTAAGATATAAGGTGTTATTTACACTTAAGCACTCGCTTTAGCGTGCTGCCATCTATTGGCAGTCCTACAAATTACATGTTTTGCCATGTAACAACTGGAGAATAGCAAAATAAATCTAATGGTTTGGAGTTTTGCCACTATGTCATCAAAATGAATACCAATTCTTATTTTGTTTTCAAAGTTGCATTTGTCAGTCAATTGGTTGCCCTGATGACGTCATATCCCTAGATATTCTTATCATCGATGTCTACCTATACTCGACAGACTCATTAAATTTGTTACAGACGTTACGTTGTTGGCTCTTAGTCAATAATCTTGCTTTCTAGATCCTTCAGTCGTTAATACCAACGTCATGGAATGTGAAAATCGTGACATGGGAAGGTGACTCTATTATGCATTACTTGAGAATGCCATTGGCCTTGGAAACATGGTCTGCCTTGGTGGGGTCATCTCCCGGGCATTTCACTGCGTACTTATTATTTATTATTCGAGAATGGAATAGCAGGTTTTCATTAAATGTCATCTATAAGTAATGAAATTGGAAGTAAATGTATTCTCGTACTTTTTAATTTCTTACAATCCGCAATCCCCCACCACCAAACGCCTTCATAGCGTATATTGGGAGAGCTTTGCTTTGCATTCACAATCTGTAATACCAAAGCGATGGATGCTTGAAGTCCTCAGATGAGAAGACGATCTACGATGACGTAGTGGCACATCGTACTGCGATGTTAAGCATCCAAGAATCAAATTGCATTTTACTTGCGTCAGTTGCTTACAAGAATAAAAACCAACGCACCAACTACATCAAAAAAAGACATTGATGGCAAAAGATTTGAGGCAGCAAGCTGCAAAGTATTGCCACTGGGATAGATGCTTCCTTCCAATCCTCTGATCGTTCTATTCTTTACAACCACAAACTTCAAACGCAAAAACATGTCAGGCCTACAGTTTTCTGTGACACCTATTGGTGCTGCCATTTATCGGTGACATTTCAAATACAGTTGCAGCTATCTGTCAATGGAGGTATGAAACTTACACTGCATTCTAGTCGTCCGCGGCGGTCAACAGCCGATCGTTGTGGCATCTATCACTGGTTATGTGCATTATCAACATGCCAGTGGTCGATAACAAATATCATGCACGTAAGCTGTTGTGTGCGAATTATAACCCTAATAATTAGTGTTCAAATGTTCATGACCGAAAAACCGAGAAACATGCATGCAAATATGACCCACAAAAGGCAAAATATGACATAATTTGTTATGAAAAAATATTTGCTATATATGCAAAATAAATACAGTCTAATTGTGATTAGAATCACTCAATTAGTGTTTAATTTCAGGTTAGAATGAAAATAGAAGCCCCAATAAAAATATGACATGTCATGAACATCCGAACCCTAGTGATAACATAAACTTTGCAAAGTGCTAGTTTGTAACTTCAAACTACACTCAATTACTCAGATATTACTCTCTCTTCAAATTTACTTAATACAGTCTCAAATTAAGAGCTTTATTTGAAAGTTTTAACTTTACATCTATAGGATGCAAGTGGTATTTTACTTTAAGAAGTGTTACATGGTGTAAGAGTTTCAGAATGACTAATGAAGTAAATGCAGTTAAATATAAATGCTACATCAGCATACCATCTGTTCACGGCTAGTAACTTGTATATGCAAATTGCCAAGTCTGAAATAAGAGTGTCCACATATTTTTCATAGAAGAGAAGAACAAAGGAAAGGTATGTACGTAACACGCTCTCCGCAGCAAGTAAATCATCTTGCTTGATCTGTAGAGCCTACACACCTATGGTTCTCTAAACCAACTTCCGTGCGGAAGTTTTTTCCACATGTTAAGCAACTGAAGAAACTCTGCTGAAGAAACTCTGACTGAAGTGAAGTTTCCTGTGATGAACAATTATGTTTTGTGGAAACGATTTGTCGCAGTACTGACAATGTCTCGTATTTTCTTCGGTGACATCATCAGCAGTAGGAGATCCCAAACTGACTGAACTACCTGCAGGGGGAATTCTTGTAACTGTGGCTCCTGTCATGGCGCCATTAACTGCACTGGTAGCAGCTGTTCCATTATCTTCTGAAGAGACACCCTCGGCTTGAACACTGCAAATAATAAAGTATGAATAAGATATTTCAATCTTATTAAGAGTAATGTTTTTAAAGAACTCCAAGAAAGGCATGATTAAAGATGGAAGAAACTAGCAACTACAACAGGGTAAAAAACTAATAACAGTGAAATAAAGTGTAAATGTCTCATCAACCTTAGATTGGAGAAAGCACAACAATGTGATGCATATACCAATGGATAACACAAAGTTAAATGTAGCCACAAATAATCCTCACAAATATGATATTTACTTCAGTTCCTGAAAACACAAGTCATCTGTTTTAAAAAAAAGGACCCTGTAATTTCTATCTCAGCTTTAAGACGGCACTTACTCTTTAAATCTCAATAACAACTCTCCTCTATGCCAAACATTCTGCAATTCACTGTTTAGACGCACATACAAAATACAACAAAAGAACATGAACACTACAATAAAATGAAAATACTCAACAAGCCTGTGTTTTGCCAACAAAATATTGCACACCACCATTAATTAAAAAGTAGTAACCTGTGTCAGCAAACAGCACGGACACACAGTAAGTCTTTGTTATCACAGCATGACAAAAAGGATGAGGAACTTGTACCAAGATGCATTAAAATAGAACAGCCACAAGATTTGTTAATTTGGCTTACAAGAGGAAGTCTGTAGGACATTCCCCATGAATACAATGTGCTCGGGTAGGCAAAAGATACATGACAAGACCTGTTAAAATGTGATTACCTTAGATTTGGTCAAAACGCTTTGTTATCACAGCATGACAAAAAGGAAGAGGAACTTGTACCAAGATGCATTAAAGTAGAACAGCCACAAGATTTGTTAATTTGGCTTACAAGTTAAAGTCTGTAGGACATTTCCCATGAATACAATGCGCTCTGGTAGGCAAAATATATGTGACAAGACCTGTTAAAATGTGGTCAAAAAATTTATGAGTTACGCATTTCCTCCAATTTACACTATTTTTCATCTTCCACGTTCAATTGTACATACAGAGTTCCTTGCACACTACATCATCAAGTAATTTACTAGTTGAAGGTTTTTGTTGTCATACCTTGAGGACAGATGCTGACTCCCCAAATCCACTACCTGCTGATTAACACCAACAGAAGAACTGTTTTGAATGGCATTAGAACTTTTAGCTGACGGTGTTGGAGCCACACATGCTATTTTTCTGGCTTCAACAGGTAATTGTAAGAGTGATGTTTGATCTTGCAACTGATTAGCCAGCCCATTCAATGTCACTGCCACATCTGACAATGAAACAGCAGATTCTATCTGGGGTCCTACACTAGGAAAAGTTCCTCCTGAACTTGTACGAATATTCACTACATGCTGGCCAACTGATGATGCTGTAAAATGCTGCTGTTCTGAAGCCGTTATACATACATTCCCAGTTACACAAATCTGACTGGATGCTGCTACATTATATTGTGACAAAGCTTCAGTTGATGGACCAAATTGGGAAACCTGTTCAGGGGTCTGTGTCCTTTCATCATCATCATCATCATCATCTAATGGCACAGATGGCAATGTGGAACCAATACCATTAGAATCATCAATACCGCATTCCAAATTCACGTTATCACATCTTTCATTTTCAAATCTTCTCACTTTTGGTCTTGGTTCAGATACACGTTCATTACTTCTCTTTTTACTAGATACATCTTTCAGTTTTCCTATAGTTTTGCCAAATTTCATGAAAGGTTTACTCCAACTCAGAGTAGGCTGCTGCTGCTGCTGCTGCTGTGCAATAACATTTGTCTGAAAAAATTATTAAAAACTTTGTCAAATTATGAGTTGTACGTATATAGCTGAAATACTCATGTAGCATCTATTGCAAGCACATGCACAGACACACACCATAAACAGCGGGGTAAAAAAGATTCAAAACTTCAGCACATATTTAGTCAGGATTGGCCTTACAAGCTGGGCTGTCACCCAAGTCAGACAGACTTCAGTATTTCACACAATATTATCAATACAGTTTCTTCAACTAATCAAAGCCCATGTGTGTTTAATTTTATGGTCTTTGTTCCATCCAAACTGGACATGTGACATACTGTACTGTAATAATGTGTTCAGAACAAAGCTTTCACTAGTCAGAGTTGTCAGATAACAATGATGAAAAACTATGTAATCATTCTAGACTCTAGGATAGTGAAATGTGACTAGAAGAGGTTTTCAGCTGTTTCACGTGATAACACCTTGCAAACGCTGTAACATCAAGCGTTCTTATGAAAACCTACATTTAGGTAATGTACTAACTACAGCTCCTGAGCAAATCAAGAAATGATATAGTTAACATTTGGTCAATTTTAAATGGCTATGAGCAACAGCTTGCTCTATTGCTCATGATGTGAAATTAATATCATGGGAAGCATAAGTTTCTTCTCCATCAAGTTAAACACCTTCATGTGATGCCTGGCGAAAACTCTGCAGAAGTTCCTCTATACCCGGCCTTTCAGTTTGGGGTAACACAAAAACATCCCCTTGTGAAGTTGCTGAAACGCTTGAATCTTCATTTGCTTCCATCAGCAGTTTTGTGCACTATGACCCAACACTTTTACAAATTAAGAGCCATGTGGAGAAAAAAAGATTAAGTGTAAATTTGCAAGGGAACAACATTACGTGCCCTTTTCAATGGACTGCCAATCTACAAATGCATTCGGATGGAGAATGACCTTCTTCCTGTGGAAAAAAGGCACAATAATCTGCATTTTGAAACTGGGAAGGACCCTCTCCTAGTCACAAGTTCCAAGCCTACATAATTACCCAGCTGTTTGTGTAAAATCTTAGAGCAAGTGGTTAACCACCAATTTACATGGACAATGGAACACGATGGCCACCTATCTAATTCCTAGTGTTAATTCAGATGTCAACACTCAAGAGTACATCACCTGGTCCAACTGCAGCATTTTACACTATATGTATATTACATTATATATAATGTCTAGGGTTCTAGGCAAAGTTTTCCTATCTCCACACAAAATAAATAAATAAATCAATCAATCAACTGTGGTAAAATAAAGATACAATAAGCATTTAAATAAAAAAATACTTTTCCCTCAAATATAAAGGGAGAATACTGCATAAGAAGTTATGCTTTGCCTAGAACCCAACATACAGAAGAAAAATTTGAGAAAAGTTCATGTGTAACAGATAAAACTTACATCATTTTGGACCTGATCAAGTGGAGTTTCAACAGGTAAATTTGCTGACTCAGTTTGTGTGAAATTCTTCAGCAGCCTCTTGATGGTATTCTCTGCACTCACACATCCTGAATACAATGCATAGCTAGTGTCTAACTTCTTCAGGCACCTCAAACATATCTGTTTAGGTAATGTATCATCTTCTCTAATCTGATAAAATAATTAACAAACCACTATCAATTCATGTTCCCAATCGACTTCTGCTGTCAGGCTACAGACAGATATATGCTTGTCTAAGCATATAAGTAATTAAAAAAGATAAAATCAGTATTTCCCTTAATTAAATAACAATAACAATAATTTATCCTTCAATCAATTTTATAGTAACGGACTAAAATTCTTTCTTACTGTCTGAGACTGCACAGATAAGGCTCTCTTCAAGCACCCAAACAGACATTTTCAAACAATACTTTCCAGGCTTCTCAAAAATGGCTCACTACATTTCAAAATATAAATAACAGTCTCATTAAGTTCTATTAAATATTAATGAAACTTTTTTGATTCCTGAATATTTAATCAAATAAACAAAAACAGACTATAATAATTCATTCCTGTCTTACATATTCATTATTCATTTACATATTCATGTGAATATATTAGCAATAACCTATGGGCAACCACCACCTCTACAATTTTCAAATACATATAAATATAATGTTATTAATTTTGGTATTTGGTTTTCATAGTCTAACACAGGCTTTCACAACAGGTAATATGAACAAGACACTCAAGACAGCTGTCTTCTGGGCTGTTGTGCCACGCAATCTGGTATAAGTTTACTGACAGTTCAGAGGTCTTTGCTGTTGCCATCATAAGGACTGCTGTGAAAATCTCAAATCCTACAAGATGCTCAAGCTTCCCATAAATAATTAATTTCATAACAACAATAAAATAGACATTTTCTTGCATTAAAACTGTCAGGCTGTTTACTTGTGAGTAAAGTAAAGTAAAGCTGTCCCACTATACGCCATGTAGGCGCTTGGGGGTAGAGGAGGTATACGTCCTACTCAATTTTGACGTCGGCACTAGATGGGGGTGATTGGTCAGCATCAAGCCCCAGCCGTGCTTTACCCCTGGGAAAAGACACCGGTACCCATTGGATAGGGGGCTGGGTGGGCCTGAGAGCCGGTCTGGACGCAGATGCTACAGGAAAAATCCTTTGCCTCCGACGGGGACCAAACGGCGGTCGCCCAGTCCACAGCCAGGCACTTTACTGGTTGAGCTATGCCGACTCTGTTTACTTGTGAGACTACAAAATATTATAATTACATAAATAAAATAAAATGAATATGATGGGTAAAAGTTGTAGCCTGTTTGCAGTCTACCCCCAGTAGTTAGATGGAAGCATCAAACCTCTCATAAAGCACAGTCCATGGCTATATTAAGTCCTGAAATGTAAAAAAATGCAAGGCACACCTCCCTACTGCAGTACAATGACAAACTGGTTGAAAACCAGTTAATCTCAACAGACTGTAAGGGCAGAAGTTATGTGTTAATCATAGTTCACATTTCACCATGTATTGTAATAGAGCTTATACACAAGTTTAATTTTACCTGCAGTCATCAGTCTTGCTTTCTCAACAACTTGCGTCAATAACAAATAACAATTTATGGGTATACCTTTCAATATAAGGGCCACTTAGATACTTTTGAATGGTCTCTGTATGGTATAAAATCAAAACTGCTTGTATGGATTACACTTTTATGTCAGGTCATGCAACTAAAAATGAAACTCGGAATCACACACACAATTACATAACATAAAACTTACTCTCTACATAACTTACTGTAATAGGTAAACACAGCCTGATTTTCTTCGATATACTGTGTTTTATTCCATCCTCGCCAAAAACGTCTATATATAACTCATTTTCTCCTGCACACAATCTACAAATTAATTTCATATCAAAACCCTCCATCATCAGCAAACACCGTTGTCTAAAATGGCGGTCTTGTGAAATCAGGGACACCAACCTACAAATATATATAATAAGCAACGAATAAGGTCGTTTGCATGCGCACAATATTTTAGTGCTATATCAATTGTGAATATATAACCTTCCTGCATGATTAGTTAGAAAGAAAATCTTGCAGACATAACTCAATATGTGATCATCTTATTTTGGGACGACTGTCTTACCGTCTATCCAAGGCATACGTTAGTTCTATTGATAGGATAATTATTTTAATATTTGCCCATTATAGTGGTCTCTAGGAAAATTTTAAAGCAAATAGCAATCAACCGCTGTATACGTACTGAAAATAAGCCTATGATTGCAACATCTACATAGCAATATTATACTTCTATTAATGAGCACTTTACCACCAACCAACCACCCACCCAATCAAAAAGCTAACTAAGGGCGGAGTTCTGCGGAAGCGGAAGCATCGTCCCTTCCTAGGTGACACCATTCCTGCGCACGAGGCGCATTGCTGGAAATGGTACACGATCTTAAACTAAAAACGGAAATTTTGCTAGCGCTAACAGGGTTCCGTCGTGGCGGGAGCCTCGACCATTCAAACTGGGATCTGTTGCTGCTGATGTACGGTTATCCCGTCAGGCAAGTTGTTCAAAGAATTTGGTTGGTTGGATCTCTGGGGTGCCTCCAGAGTTGCCGGACGAAGGGGTTCCCCACACCAGCTAACTTCGAGTCAAATCTCTCAGTCAGTGTTCTGATGTGGTCGGCAAAGAATGGGATCCCCAAATCCTCGTGTATTTGCCTGTTACTAACGTACCAAGGCGCGTTAGTAGCGATGCGAAGGCATCTTAACTAACCTAAGGATTCGCTGTAAATGCCTGAGAAATGTAGTTACAAGAAAGAATTTTATCCTCAAAATGTAACCAAAATATGCATTAAACTACAAATATGACCGAAAACATCAAAATGACCTAAATATGCATTTATATGCAAAATAAATACAGTCTAATTGTGATAAGAATAAACCAATTTGTGTTCAATTTCAGTTTAGAATGAAAATAGAAGCCCCAACAAAAATATGACATGTCATGAACATCCAAACCCTAGTCATTATATAATTCCTTCTTTTTGTTACTTTACCGTCTTTGAATCCAAATGTTCTCCTCAGCACTTGTTTATCAAAAACACCCAATTTAACTTTTTTCCTTAGTGATATAAAACAAATAAAGGTACAGTTTTGTATATTTTAATCTTTAGGTTTTTATGCAGGACACAGAAAGATAATGGAAGTTTCTTTCTGATCACAGGTCTAAATGTGTTAAAAACATGTCTTTGTAAGAAATAAATTTGTAAAGTTTACCACATTTCATCACATAATTAATGCATACTCATTTTTTATGTAAAATTGAAACCATGATGTTTCGGAAACTGGCTGTTTCCGTCTTCAGGCAAGAGGAGACTAGCTCTATCTGACAGTCCCAACCGAGTAGGTATCTCTCACCTGAAGACACAACCAAAGCAAGTTTCCAAAACGACACGGTTTCTTCTTGTAAACAAGGATGGGAAAAGGTCCAGACAGCAAATAATTTTAAGTGTACTCCACCATCATCAGAACCCTTTAGAACTGAATTACCTACATGAGTAGTTTAAAAGGAAAACATTTGGTTATGTTCTGTTAACACTTAACACTCTTTAAGGTCTACCCTTTTTTGGTTTTTTATTCTTTTAAAGAAAATATCTTAGTGACAGATCAAGTGTCCAGTATCTTCCAAGACAATCTTCATAAGATCTTACGTAAATCACAAACCAGAGTTACTTCATCCCAAAACAATGAATAGCTGAGGATAATGTGATGAAATACAGTATTTATAATTTTGATTAAAATATAAGAAAATGATGGAGTATGATGCAAGTAGCTATGCAATCATTTAATTCCACTCGCTAATGTGACATGGAACTGCAATACACAGACACATACATTAATGTCAGGTTGTAGTTAAGATGAGTATTGTTTGCCTTTCACCACAAGCTTTTAAAGGATTGTACAGCCTTCAACAAAAAATTGTGGAACACACCTCCACCAACATACATTCACATCTGTACATAATATCTAAACACACCCATTCTTTTAGTACAATTAAATAAAACAGGAGACAGATGAGATGAAGAACAAGTTCATTATACCAAAGAAATGGAATTATTATTTGAATGAATTTATATCATTCTACCACTTTTCCCATAACATTAATTCTCATACAGCAAGAATTCCAACTATGGCATATATTAACATTTTAAAAAATATATCATAGTTCCAATAAGATATAAAATCAGTTTAACTCTAATTAAGATAACAAATTAAAGAAATACTCATTATTCTTAAACTAAAACAGCTGCTACAACACTTACTTCTTGAAATAATAAAGATTTTTCCAAATTGTAATTGTAAAGCACATATTTCAGATTCTGATTACTCACTTTCCAATAAGCGTGAAAGACGAAGCTGCCTGGAATTTGTATTTAAAATTATTGAAAATAACCATTAATGTTTCAGGGGTACAGAAAATTCTGAATTCCCGGTGTTTGAAGAGCAAGAAGCTTTGATTTTGGAGATAAACGGCACAAAATGTTTAAAATTATCAAACATCTTGGCAAACAATGCAGTTGCCATCTTTAGGGCAAATGTGTGTGTAAGGATGTAAAATGAAATTTTTGCCAAAACGCCAGAAAACTTTCAACATTTGATGCAGATATGTCCAATAAGCCAAAGATACACAATGAACCAAAGCTGTGAAAACCTAAGAACAAGAAATCACAGGTAGCTGTAGTGGGAAGTTTCAGGTTTTTTTAAATTTTACTTTTGCGTAGAAAGGGGCTAGAAGCAAAATTCAAAACCAACTTTCTGTCAGTGTGTGCAGAAAAACATTTACTAAAATATAAGTACTGTACATTTTGATTTATATATACCGTATTTAAATCAGTTTAGAAATCTACAGCTTGTTTTGGAGATATATACTTTAATGATTAAAACATAGCACAACAGAACTGGCAATGTATTTTCTTTAAAGAACTCACTACAGTATTTTAGCACAAACAGTTTCGTATATGAAAGACGTTTTCTCCATAATAATGCCATTACTAGTTAAATTCCCAAGCCAAATTTTGGCCACCAGCCTGGTAATAGGGAGCATTTAAAGACCTATTCTCATATAATAAAGGTTAAAACATAACATGTCTGATGAAGAATTCTGGTTTTAAAATACAATGTAAGTTTAATAATCATATCAGTTACAAGCCAAATTTGTTTCAGAATCATTAAAATGTATTACTACATCTGTTACTGTTGAAACCCAAGACTCTTGAGACCTGTGTGGAGAAATGCTCGATTATTGTTATTATTGAGTAGAAGCTCGTCATTTCATCTCTCGTATCTCCAAATCATTTTCTTCTAAATGAAGCTCGCAGCTTCAGATATATATATAATAATATCAAATATCTGCTGCCGATGTAAATTTCATATTCAAAGCAATTAACTAAATTCACACACATACACTCACACACATCATTCAAATGGACTGTCCTGATCATTGCATTAAACTGCAGCAACAGGGCCAGATTCACATGGGACAAATTAATTTGTGCCATATTATTATGCTCAGTTAAAACCATACTTGCACCACCTCATTAACAAATCATGTACCTGAAGTATAAAACATTGATATGATACAATTATTCAAGCTTTAACATGATAACTTTACAGAGATTCAACTTAAAAAACTGTAGGTAAACTTTTTTGTTTCTCTTTTTCAATATATTTTACAAGTTCATCTATTACAAGGCAACATCTGCATATAACAACAGAAACCATCACAGCAAACACTTAGCAGGTTTTAAGAACTAAAAGTGATGGAGAGTCTCTGCTATGTCATGACAATTTACATCACATGGACAGAACAGCTGTCAGCTACAGGTAACACTGACCACCACTAACCAGTAAAATATACAAATTGCCTTGTAATGGGGAACAACATTAAGATGATCAATACATTCCATCTTCATTTTAAATTATCTACTATAAAATAAATTCTTTGAGAGAATATTACACACTATATACACATATTTTCACAACCATTATGTCTTATTCACTTAAAAATATCATAAATTTCATTCTTCTAATATACTGGATGGTTCTAATAGTTACCCTATGCCTTCTGTTTCTGAAGAATAGTGCATGTAACATGAGAAGTCTGTTTTGTTACGCTGATGATAAACCAGTAACTTGTGTTTCTGTTATAATTCACTTTATAGTACAGCAACATGAAACCTACATGCACAAGAGGAACAGATAAATAATATTCTTGGTATTATTAGTGCTTAACTTTTACAAGAACAGGGAATGCTATCCTGAAATTATTTTAAAAATAACTACACTGTTGGAAAGAGAGACCACTGTTATTGCACAGTGTTTCGTAATATTCCTGCAAAACACAAACCTAACCTTCATGAAAACAAGAATGCAAATAATCCCAAGCATAATCTCAACACAACAGTCACCTCCTAAATTTGTACATTTCATTGCTCAGTTACTGCATTTATCTGAACCTATGACAAGAAATCTTCCTACATTATCATCTATGAAACTGATAAATGTTTTAAATTCACACACTAGAATATCCAGCTAAGGTCAAAGGTTTTAGTACAATACAGATTTGCCACAGAATGATCCACTTTAGTGCAAGAATCCAAGGTCTAATTGCCATGAGCAAGTTAGCACAGGCTGGTGGCAAGTATTATTCTAGGTGTATTACATCTTATACACAGAACACATATCAGGGTGGATGAGGTGAGTATTCTATGAAGTGGCTAGTAGATTTTAAGTTGTATTTCTACAGCACTGGAAGTATCTGTGAAGGAGGGTGAGAATGAATACAAAATAAAGCAGAATGAATGAAAAACTCTGAAGCTGTGAAGAGTTTTAACTGTTACTATGCACACATTTAAACATTTTATTTTAGCAGATAATTTCAAATTCTTGTTTTAGATTCAGATAAGCACAGTATATTGTAACAAGTTTATAATGTGGTACATTTTATATACATAAATTATCTGCTTTTTAGCACCTTATAAAAGACTGGGATGCTACAGCACAGCTAGTTTGGTAGAACATGAGCTATGACCGTAATCTGATCAGCACTCACCCACCAACCTAATTGTACAAGTGGTTTAAATTAGTTATGCAGTGCTACACTACCAAAGCCTTAAAAAAATCAGATCAATTAATAAACACAATTTTTTTCTTCCTCCATGAACCATGTGTGCACTTTAAATCTGTATACTCCTCAGTACAAATAAAAATATAAAATATCAGTACAGGATACTGGATGCTATTACTCACCATCCAAGCAGATGACAAGCGTATTCCTGTTGCAAAACAAGACATGCGAGGTGATGGGATTAAGAGCAGCTTCCATATAATATAACAGACTGTTCTCAATACAGTCCCTGGACAAAATTCACAATCACAGGAAAACACTTATGTACAGAACTAAAAGATTCCCCACAATATTAAAAGTAGCTAGGGTAAAAAAATATCAGTGACATTATTATTGGATTCCAATAGAATAGAGTACTTAAGCTTGGTAGAATATATCCCACCAACTACATTCGTTTCTTGAATGTTATGTTTGGATCACATATTTGCATGAAGGTGCAAAACTCACCTTCCATGTTAATCAACTATTCACGTATTAAAAAAACGTTCCACATTGTGCGAGAATGACAAGAGTCAAGGACACTGTCCTCAAATACTATCACTGCTGTGAGAATGCTCCATTTACAGCTTACAGAAGAAGATATTTAAAAGCAGAGCAAATTCTTAGACATACTATGATGGGGCATGGCTGCTCCTACGCCTCAGGAAAGCCCTTCCATTCAAAGGATAAACCCTAGCTAGGAGAATCAGAGAGGATGCAAGTGCCAGACGGACTGGAGCTTCTCTGCCACCAGGAAGACGCACAAACACCGTACCAACTGCAGCAACCCCATCATCTGTGGGTTCCACAGCAACAGGTCGGATGTCACCTACAGACTGCTGTTTACGCTGCTTCTTCCTGTGTGGAGACTGAGATGTGCTGGCAGTGGAAGATAGGGAGCCAGACGGATCATCAGAATCACGAGAAAAATCCAGCAATAGTGTCACTGTGGCAAATGGACGTTTGGCCATGTGAAGCATCTCCACGACATGGAGATGCCTTGCATGACGCACATCTGCTGCCTGTTTGGCTTTCCATGCCACAACACATGCAGCCAGAAACAAGAAAAAGCAAGAGAAGAAGACAGAGAAGAATACAAAAAGGTCAATGTGAAGTTGATCCTGTCGGAAAAATATTATCCCATAACTAGGACGAGATGAAGTATCTCCATTTTGTGGGGTTGGTAACACTGCTGTTAGAGCAAGGTAGAATTTTGTGGAGCCCAAGTCATGGCGATCTTGTGGGAGAGTCAACACAAGACGGTTCTTCAGGTTTCGCACTATCAAGAAAGTATTTTTTTGGGTGATGGTCACAAACGTTGTGAGACCATGGGCTTCTCGATCCTTCACCATATATACATTTGGCTTCATATAATCAGCACTGGTGGTTCGGGTTGTGGAACCATTGGCAGCAAAATCATCACTCCCAGCACTGACTTCTACAACACTGAGCCTTCTGTGTGAGCCACCTGACATGTCTTTATACTCTTCTTCTCGCCAATGGAATTTGGGGTCTATCTCCACCTGTAATAAAACACTTGGTGCAACAAACTCTGGAACGTACAAAATGAAACAAAATAAGAGTGAAATTAAACTCGGAATACTAACCGTATGAGCTCCAGTACTAGAGTTTACATTAACAACAAAGGTATCATCAGACGGACTCATGTACAAGTCCAGGGCTCCCTGAGTCACATCCACAATAACACGGATATCCACATTCATGAACCGAGGCTGCACAACGAAGAACACAGTTTGTCCAGGATGCAAAGGCTTTGGTTTCATTTTACATTCCTCTGTTGGAAAATAACAGGAAGTTAATTTTGCAATCATAACATATCAAAAAGTTATCAATGGGTCTCATAATTTTAAACTCTACTACCACATCTTCAAATTCATGTATCAAAAAACATATATACTGATGTCCTATTGGAATATTCTTTGCTAGAAAGTATAGCAAGATTCTGTTGTATACAGTATAAGTTATGATTCTAATATGCATGTTCATCATTTTACCCAGTTCTTTGGCATCAAAGCAGAACTTGCTGTCAAACGACATCTGGCGATAGCACTGATGACCATCAGTGGGATTGCCCATGTAAAAGTCACGGCACTTAGAACACTGAGACTTCCAGCATTGGTTTGCATTCTTGTTATTGTTACAAGTGGCATCACTCTCTGTATTATTCTGGCAGTTACACTTTTCTCCTGTCACTGGGTCACATTGATCCCCATGTCCATGGCATTCACACCTGTCACACACCATCAGAAATATATATGTATGCCACACATAACAAACATGCAACTTAGCGACAAAAAATTTAAGAGACTCTTGTGCAAAAGTCAACCCACAGGTGCAGAAATGACTTGAGGGAGTAAAAAAAGAAGCTAAAACTACCTGTAAAAGGAAATAAAATACCCTTACTCCAAGACAGCCATGTCCAGGGTCATAGACATCTTAGGATTAAGAGTATGATGCACTGTTTGGCCGCATACCACATGAGGCAGTGACAGATGAGTATGGAGCAATTAGTAGGGGTAAACAGAAGAATTCAGACAAAAACCCACTCCAGTGCCACTTCACCTACGATGAATCTCATTTTAAGTCACCTGTAACTGAACCTGGGTCTCTACTGTGAGAAATCAGTATCTGGCTGTCTGAGATATGACACAGCCAAACTTACAACTGCAAAATCCTACTTCATTATAAGTTGAGACGGAAATGGAAGAAAGTAATTATTGTTAATGTTATGTTAAAGTACTACTGACTGATGAGACAGTGACAACCCACAGTCAGAACAGCTGGTCATTATTCAAAACAGTTAGTTATCTACCAAATGCAATCTGTGAAGCTCATTGCATGGTAGCTGTACATTGCAAATTATAACCATCTAAATACATTATATCTTCACAGAACCTTGAACATTCTGTTATGAGATGATCCTTGGTGTAGAAAAGTTTCTCAGACATACATTCCAGTTCTTGTTCTGGTGTTAACTTTCAAAGGTGTTACACTTGTAATCCAAATCTCACTTCTATATTAGTAATGTTTCCATTACAGAGAAAGCAAAGAGACTCATGTTATAAAGAGAGGGACTATCCATGATAAAATTGGAAAGAAAGACCATAACTAATTTTAAGCTTTCATGGTTTCATTTTTAATGATGATACTACTTTTCAGTGAAGGTAAGCTGTATTGCTGGTGTTTCAAAGGAACACACTGCTTTCATCATCAGGGCTGATAATGGCCAATTTATACATAATGCAAATGCCCACACACAGGATCAACATTAAGAAGGAAAGGTCAGTATCTATGTCAAGGTACTGTTCGTGACTGTAATCTTGAGACTTGCAAGGAATGCGGAAAGTCCGAAGTGTTACCCGGTGTCCTACGTGAGCGATTAAGTGCGAGCGGTGCGATTTGCGTGGGTGAAGCGGAAATATCAAACTGGCTGTTTGTATGGCGCTGTCCTAGGTTACAGCGAATCAGTCAAGAGAGTAAAGCGGCCGGATTCCGAGATCAAATATTTTGATATTTTCGCGCAGGTCGCTGCGCTGGCCAGTTAGGCGCATGCGCAGATAAGCTCTGACCGTGCAGTACACTGAAGTTGCATGCGCAGGAAGGCCGTGTGTTTCTCTCACGCAGGACACAACAAGCGATTCCCTTATGTCATATGACACCCCATGCTGCTTATCCAGCTCGCACAGCTCGCTTCTTATCGCTTACCTAGGGCATTGCCTTAAAGGCTGGGCATAGCAGACACTGTCTTTCCTCCTTCACCCCACTTCCTCACCCCGCAAGTCTCAAGATTACAGTCGCGAACAGTACTGTTCACAAGAGTTAGGTAAAGACAAGGTGACTGTAAAGTCACACAACCCATTCCTGACACATATTCTTTGTCAAAAAATAAATTACACTTAAATCAGAAAACAAAATAATGTTATATTAAGTCCTTGAATTTATGTTTCATGCAAGCTGGTGAAGAGTTCCTGTGTCACAGGAGCAATTCATCAGACAGGACACTGTTGATTTGTTTGGTGCAGGAGAGTCGGGAAATGTATCCCTAAACTCATTCCAGCAAGTTAAGTAAGAAATACAGGTCAGGCAGTGTTCAACAATGAGTACTTGCTGCACTTGTGTGTGTGTGTGTGTGTGGGGGGGGATATCCTTGCATTTCAACTGCTGAAAGACAACTGACGGAGTGGTGTGAACAGGTTACGATATGATATCACCTGTGTTGGATCTTGTATAGCCACTGCAATATTGTGTGTTCATTAATCCAACTGAACTGTATTGAATTGCAGCCATCAATAAAATCTAAAAATGGGATTCATGACTTTTCAATCACCGTGACACAGGCAACCCAGTTGGCAAACAAGGTCGTTCCCCCTACTCCTGAATGCAGAACACTGGTCTTTGTACAAAGATATTCCTCACTTGTGTTTGTTCCTTTCCATTGCTCCACTGTTTGTAGTACTGACAATGATTGTTATTATTTTATAATTGTTCTAGTGTAATAAAATATTATCCATAAAGTTTACATCAAATCAGAACAAGCAAAATGTTTTTCAGTCTGCTAATAATAGAGTGTGTGACTTTCTAGGCTGCACACATACAATGTTCATTCTGTGTATCCAAAAGTTAGTCAGACTGACTATAGGATGTGGAATAAGTCATAAAGTACATAACATACAGATGAGTATAATTTGAAATATTAATTAGGTTTCAGAAACAGAATGTAACAGGCATTTACTTAACTCTTGCAGACTACTATCCCATCATTTACCTAGGACAAAAGAAAACCACAAACAAGAAAAAGATCTATCAGAACAGCTAATCTTCAGGCAG